GACATCGGATCCCTACTTACAAACGGGGTGAGGCAACTCCACACTAGCTGCTTCCCCCCAGCAGACCAGGGAGATGCGAAGCTAGCGCCCCCCCACCCCAGCAGACCAGGGAGAGGTGGAGCGGCTTTTCTCAGCAGACACTTCAGCTTGAGAATAAAGGGCTGAGGGAAGTGAGGTGTGGGAGAATAAAACTGAGCTCTGGAGAAATGTTTGGCTAGAGTTTCCCCTACAATATGTACCAGTTCCGACTTACATACAAATTCAACTTAAGAACAAACCTACAGTCCCTATCTTGTACGTAACCCGGGGACTGCCTGTACAGACAGAACTCCTCCTTGTTGGAGAAAAAGAAGCAAGCAGGCAGAAGTTAACTTTTCACTTGACACACAAGATACACATCTTAAAAAAAATCTGAACTTCTGCAGATAGGACAGTGTCCACCTGAGATGATAATTCATGGCCATGGTTGTGGCCTTTTGGAATTTGTGTGTTCTTTATTATGTCCTTTATAGTGTATCAGAATATGTCACATTGTTTTCACCAGATCAGAACAGTAATTCTTAAAATAATCTAGTGCAGTGAAGGCAAGTTCTAAATGTATTGAGCTAGTACTGGAAAATTACTCAGTGCATCTTAAATATTGCAGCTATATTCTTTAGGAATGCATAATATGTAGGAACTGCATAGCCAAAATTTTAAACCCAAACATGAATGCACTGATTTTTCCCCTTCTCAGCAATAATTCAGAAAAGGTTAAAGAAAGAAAAGAAGGCAAAAAGGAAATTGCAGGAAGCACTTGAATTTGAGACTAAGCGGCGGGAACAAGCAGAACAAACATTGAAACAGGCAACATCAACAGACAGCCTCAGGTCCCTAAATGGTAAGAAGCCACCTTTTTGCCTCTCTGTTATTAACCCTTAATTCAAGTGGTGAAATTAACCCTCAGTGCAAGTAAAATAAGTTCATTATATTGGTCACAATTATTTTTGTGGTGCCTTTGGAAAAAGCTCCATTTTGCTTTCTTCTGTTTCTGTGATACTTCTCTACTACCCGTGTTGCTTTTTCTGTACAATAGGTATGAACAAATATATCTTCACTGGAGAGAATTCCCAAACTAGTACAATTTTACATTATTAGCTTGAGAATTCAATTCTTTGTTTCTCTCTCTTCTTAAAAATCTATCCCTCATTAATCTTCCCAGTCTAAAAATATTGCCCTGTCTTCCAGTCATTGTTCAACATTAAAAAAAATGACAAAGGTTGATTGTATTGTAATTCAGCATTGGAGCAACAGGTTGTAAAAAGGGCTGTAAGAGTCAAATGAAATATGTCAGTCTTACCTTTCTGTGCTTCTAGACTCTCTGACCCCAGAGATAGAAGCTGACCGCAGCGGGGGCAGAACAGATGCTGAAAGGACAATACAAGGTAGGCATTTGCGAAAGGCTATAAATCTAGATCTTACTCTATGAGTTTTTCCTCTGCTTTAGCCTGCTATTCAAGCATGTAGCCTACCATCTGGGCCACATCAAAACAAGTTCAAACAAGGTCAAGTTCATCTTGGTTGTTTATAAGAGAGAATTCATTCTGTGCTGATAGATTTTCTTTAAATTAACAGGTCAATTCTGTTTATATGAAGCAAGTGAAGAGGAATAATTAATTTGAAACTATGCTGGATTGAATCTTGGCCACACTGAATGCATTTTTGTGTGTGAATGTGTATAGTCACATCTAGGATAATAATGTTTCTTAAGATATAGTTGAAACACTGTGAGCCTTTTAACCATAATGAAAACCTGGATTAACCTGATGGGTAATATTCAAGGTGTGATGAGAACTTCATAGCTAATATTCAGTGGCAGTTACTGCAAGGTGTGTTTCAATAAGCTACTGCAAACATTGACAATAAATAAAACTGTTTATTCCCCTCTTGGATTTTTCATTTGCCAAATGTTCCATATCCCATTATTTGCATTTTAATAAAACAAATCTGCTGAGTAAATTTATACTTGAAATACTAAAGGGACCCATATTACTTCCTCTGTGGAGCTAAATATATATATTGCAAACAGCAAGATATTAGTAAAGAACAAATTCCGAAGTTAGCATTTATGTTATAATTTCATCTATAGTCAGTAAGCTAAATCTACCAACCTGAATACTAAACAGCAGAAATAGCATTTGTTTTCAGCTATAACTGAAGGTGCATTTTTTCAAAGGCAAGCCTAAAATGATTAACTGCAGTAATCTTTTTCAATTGCCTTTATTTTGTATTTTAAAGTCAAACTTCTTAACTGTATCATTTGACATCTTTTTTTGTGTGTTTCTTAATCACTTTCTCTGACTCCTAAAGCAGGGGGCACAATAAATTTGATGGGGGAGCACTCCAAGAATTTGGTAAAAGGTGAAGGGCCGCTCTTATTCATGATATTAATGGAGGATGTGAGTTGTCTGGGATGTAGGTTGGGTACAAAAGGGGGCTTGGCTAGGGGTGTGAGGTGTAGGTAGGAGTGTGGGGTCTGGGAAGGAAGTTGGGTGAAGGAGGGAGTTGCAACCTGGGACAAGGGATTGGTGTGCAGAGTCCATGGGTGGGTATGGGTTCAGGAGAGGATTCTGACCAGGAAGAGGAGTATAGTAGGGGATGCAGGGTTGGAAAGAGTTGTGTCTTGGATGGAGCAGGGCATTGGTGACTGGGAGGAAGTGCAGGATCTGAGAGAGGGTTGTGACCTGGGGCAGGAGTGCAGGAGAAGGCATAAAGGTTTGGACTGTGACTAAGGCAGGAGAGTGCTGTGATCTGGGACAAAGGATTAGGGTGCAAGATCTGAGTGGGGGTATGGGTGCAGGAGCAGGGGTTTGTGTTTGGTTTGTGTTTGGTTTGTGTTCTGGAGATGAGATGGGGGGCAGAGGGGCGGCGCAGGAGGGAGTGGGGTGCCAGGTGCAGGCACTGGCCAGGAGACATTTACTCTAGGTGAGTCATGGCCAGCAGCTCAGCGGGAGCCTGAAGCAGGCTTCCTGCCTGCCATGCCCCCACATACAATGCAAAGCAGGTAGCTCTCTGCACACCACACTCCTGGAAAGGTGCTTCAGGCACTGCCTTCACACTCAACACAATCTTGCAGCTCACATTGGCTGGAAAACAACCACTTGAAGCTGCCTGGGCCATGCTTGCAGTGCAGGCAATGCACAGAAAGACCCAGGTCCCAAGGGCATTGCAGAAAGCAAATGGCCCCCACAGCCAGATACTTTGAGCAGTGTGAAGGAGTGCAGCAGCAAGGGAGCCTGCCTGAGGTTTCTGCTGGGCCATGTGATGGCGGCAAGCAGGATCCAGCAATTTATCAGACTGGATGTGGCCCATGGATTGTATTTTGCCCATGTCTGTTCTAAAGGATTGTGGCCAACTTGCAACAAAAAAAGTGTCCGCAATATATTCAAAGGAAGAAAAAAAGCTTAAATTGACAGAACAACTTCAAGATATTTGAAACAGAGAAGTCCTTATAAAAACATATATGCACATTACACACAAATAATTGTTAAAAGAAAGTTACAGTTGCAAAGTTGAGCACTGGGGGTATGTCTACACTACCCCGCTAGTTCGAACTAGCGGGGTAGTGTAGACATACCCTCAGAGGTTAGCAAATGCCACAGTTAAAGTTGCATGTGCAAATTGGGCCATCTCATGTATATATACCATGATAGTCTTTAGCATGATCGAATTTCATATCTTCCATTGAACCCATGCCTCTTTCAGTGTACAGGATGGACAGTGATTACTCAAAGAACAAGTATTCAATATTTTATATTATCTTATTCTATAGTGTGTGGCCTCATGCCTTATTTACTGTGTACGATTCAAACCTTCTTGTGGAGACAGAGAATTGTTAATTTTTTCAGGGGCTTCTCTGTCATGCTCATCAATATAGTATTTGAATGCTTCTGAGATTGATCTTCAGAACACCCCATGAGATGAAGTGAGTATATTATTCCCATAATAGAGATGGAGAGCCAAGGCATGGAAAGATTTAGGCTCTGTCTCCACTACAGAATAACTTATGTCACTCAAGAGGGGTGAATAATTCATAAGTTACACTGATTTAAGTACCAGTATGGACAATGCTATATCATTGGAAGAGCTTCTCTTGCTGATATAGCTTCTGCTGTTCACAGACACTGAAGGTAAATGGACAGGAAAGCTCTCTCCTGTCAAGTTAGACTACATTAGAGAACTTATCGCCATACAGCTGCACCACTGTAAACTCTTATGCAGCTGTGGCCTAGGTGTACATTAGTTTTGGGTGGCCACTTTGAGACAATCATGCCTGATTTTTCAGAGTGCTCTAGCTTTTCTTATCACTGTATCTGTTCAGAGCTCAGCTTCCACTGACTTCCGGTGCAGGTGTGAGTTCTTAGCTTGAAGGTACCAAGTTGGGCATCCATAAAATGAAGAACATGTAATTAATGGCCATGCATTTATAGTTTAGTGTAAGAGATTTGTCAACACTGTATAGAAACTCTGCAGTAGATACAGGTATACAAACCTATTCTTTAAGATATTTTTTTTAAACAGGAAACCACTTTTTCTCTTTCAACAATTGCCTTGTGGATCTGCCACACAAAAAGAATGATACATGCACTTTGCCACTGCAATGAGGAGCTTTAATTCGAACTACCTAGCCCGTGCCATGTGTAGCCGCGGGCAGGTAGTTCGAACTACGGGGCATTTAAAAATGGCAGCACCCGGGAACATGCAAATCAAGCGAGGGATATTTAAATCCCAGGCTTCATTTGCAAGTTTGAATGACTACGTTAGCCACCCTAGTTCGAACTAGGGTGGCAGTGTAGACATACCCATACTCATAAATTTCTCCTTTCTCAATTTTATTTCTCCCAGACTTTTCCTCCACTTCCATCTAGTTCACTCATAGATCCTCCCAATTCTCTTTTCTAATCCTTTCCAACATACATTATCTAAAACCTGTTTCCTGGTAACTCTCACTCCTTTCTGTTCACTTTCTGCCCCTTTTTGTCTCACAGGTGCTGGTTCCTGTCTCTTTTACTGTTCCCATTTTCAGTCCTCTCTCCCAAACCTCTCCTGCTTTTATGAAACTTTCCTCACTTGTCACTAGTCCTTTGGGTGCCATCTCTTGCTTTCTCCATTTCTTTCCCATTTTCAGCTGCCTCCATCAGTTCATCATTTGTTCTCAGTTCATCATTTCTATTTGCAGATGTGACAATTCATGCATCCTATACCCTCTTAACCATTTCTCTGCCAACAGCCCATCTTTACCCTATTGTCCCCAAGTCTCAGGCCCAAGATTTCCCTCATCTCCCCAGATATCCCATTCCATTTCCTGAGTCTCTCCTCTGTTTTCTGCTCATCCCTATGGCTTCTCTGTCCCAATTATTCCTTCAGTCTAGCCTCTTCTCCATTAATCCTTCTGATACCAGCATGCTCCAGTCCCACTTCTGGCTGCCAGTCTCTTCATTGCTCCATCTCTTGGTTCCTCAGCAAACTGACCTTCTGTCTTCCAGCAGACCAATTCACTACCACCCAGCAGAGCCTCTGCCTCCCATCAAGCATATCTATACTCTCATAATCTAAATCATATAAATTGTGTGCTTTCCCAATCCTTTCCAGCAAACCAGTCTCCTCTATCTCCCTTCATCCAGGCTCTCCAGCATGTCTGCAGGCTGATTTTCAGACCATCAGTGAACGGATACTAGAAATGGTTTCTACCTTTTCTCTCACCCTGTGTAAGAAGGGAAGCTATTCGGTGCATGGCATTCCCACACAGATCTGGTCTACATCATCTACCCTGATTCCTGTGAAGCCAAGGTGGAATTCTCATTGCCTGGCAGGAAAACTGGCCAACACTCCCTCCCACAGGTAGCCAGTGGGTCTCATTGGTGGTCAGCTGTAGCAGGACAGAGAGAGCAGCTCCAGCTCTGCACATCCCCCAGTCACACAGGGAAGTAGTGTTCTACAGGCTGGGGTGGGGCGTGGGGGGGAAGGCAGGCAGTGAGAAAGAAGTTGGAAAGGCAGTGCCTCCTTCCACTTTCTTGTAGTGACAAGCTTGGTATTGAGTGACACCTTTGTTGGAGGCAGATTGATGTGTCATGTGTTTCTCAGTCAGCTCTGGGGCCATTGGGGCTTCCAATATCAACACCAGAATGAGAGGCTCCAGTCCTTGCATTTAGAGCATACAAGCACCAGGACCATGTTTAGTCTCTTTGTAGATGCACAAGGGGGAGTTTCCTGTGAATGCATGTGCATTGTGAAGAACATTCTAGCCCTTAGTATATCCATACATAACACCTGACAGAATTAATATGTTGGTGATTTAACTGTGTCTATCCCAGATACTTAACACATGCATTTTGCTGTTTAAATATTGGACAGGTTTTTAGGGCACAAGCTCTGCTAGCAGCTG